ATTTTAGCAAATGGCTGCAATATAACAAAGAGTGAAAAATTGAAGGGGGTCTGAATACTTTCTGTACCCACTGTATACGCGCGTCCTTTCTTATCAGTGATGCAATTTATTTATCAACTATGCATCTTCTGGTAATTGCTACCAACTGTTTCAGTTTTCGTTTAGGACTGTGGCTGCATCACTCGCATAATTGCACAAGAAAGGCACACGTGTCGTTCAGTTTTGAGTTCGCTGGAAAATCATACTGAGTAAGTGCACAGTATAGTAATTGTACTTTTATTATGCCTAGACTATATGGTAATAGTATCTGTGGTTGATAGTGTTAAAATTTAGTTTCTTTGTTATTGGCATTCTGTTTTCTCATGAAGTATGCACTAAGGTACTGTGGGGAAAAAATGCTAACGATTGTTTATAAAATTATTTTAGGACTGTGAATACACCACTCTTGCCTTCACCTGCATCTCTCACAGTAAGGGGACGCTCGTTCAGTTTTCAACTCCATTCAGAATCTTAGAGTAAGTGTGCATTCACTATTTTACAGATGTTACTTTCATTTGATTTATTTGCTGTATGGTAAAATATGTTTGCTATGTGGTAATTGTGTTCTTTGTTTCGATAAATTAGTACTAGTATCAGTGAACATCATAATAATGTTAATAATGTAGTTTGTGTAAACAGAACAAATGTTCTGTATGTGTTTTAAGGCCTTATTTCAGTGACTTTAAAATTTTAGTTTTTCACTAAGCACGCATAAACGTTGTTTTCTCAAAAACACAATCACGTACATACATGCTGCACACATATTATTGTAGCCCAGTTTGTGCTGATTACAGTGTTATTAAACTTTAGACATTCAAATGTTTGTAAGCAACTGAAAAAAGCACAAATGTCAGGGCATGTCAAAACTTTTCCAGGCCCCAAAACACCCTCGGACCCCAGAGGGTTAAACTACTTCAGTCTGTGTGCATTGCATTTATTTAATACACGAGTTTCACAACTTGAGTTGAATTACTGAAATAAATGAACTTTTCCACGACATTCTAATTTATTGAGATGCACCTGTATAACCTGCTTTTACAAAATAGATGTGCAAAAAGATGTGTCTCTGGCCTTCATATATTTATAAATCATAAATATATAAGACATAATGATATTTAATGTGGTGGAGTACATATTTATATTAAAACCTATATAAAACCTATCATTATATACACTATATGGACAAAAGTATTGGAACACCTGACCATTACACCAACAAGGACTTTAATGACATTGCATTCTAAATACATCCCTGAAAAAGCCCAGCCCCTGAAAAAATAGTGCCATTATCCCTTTCCACTAAATGTTACAGTTGGCACAATGAGTCAGACAGGTAACAGTCTCCTGGCATCCTCCAAATCCAGACTTGCCCATCAGACTGCCAAATAGAGAAGCATGATTCTTCACTCTATAGAACATGTTTCAACTGTTCTATAGGTGCATGCTACACCACTCCATTCGACGCTTGGCAATGTACTTGGTGATGTGAGACAGCATGGAAACCCATTCCATGAAGCTCCTGCTGTACAATTTGTGATGGTATCAATGCCAGTGGAAGTTAGGAATTCTTCAGCTATGGAGTCGGCAGAGGGTTGGCGACTTTTACGCACTATGTGCCTCAGCGCTCGGTCACCCCGCTCTGTGACTTTATCTCCTGCTTCATGGCTGAGTTGCAGCTGTTCCTAAATGCTTTCACTTTCCAGTAATACCACATACAATTGACTGTGGAATATCTATTGATGAAATTTCACAAACTGACTTATTGCAAAGGTGGCATCGTATCACAGTACCACACTTGAATTCACTGAGCTCTTCAGAACGATCCATTTTTTTCACAAATGTTTGTAAATGCAGACTGTATGGCTAAGTGCTTGAACTTATACACCTGTGGCAATGGGTCTGATTGAAAAAACTGGATTCAATCATTAGGAGGTCCATATACTGTATATTTGTATGCTTGTTATTTGTATACTGCTTTTAATGCACACTGTTCTTAAGCAGCTTTACAAAGAATAGTGCTTTACAACCTCCAGTGAGCAAGCCATATCTCTCTGAGATGTTTAAGCTGATGAGGAGGAAAACCTTGGAGGAACCAAGACTCAGCAAGGAGCCCTTTCTCCTCTGGCTGAAACATGATTAAACCAATTCAGACAAACATAAACCATACACTGTTACACAATGTATGCTTGTTTACAATTGCAGTACAATCATAAGAACAACTGCTTTTACAATCTTTTTTATTGGGAAGTGTCTGAGGATTATAGATATGGTCTGTATTCAGCATTATTATTTGTATGTGGAAATTCTAGTGTCATTTGATTGTATTTTATGGTCTTTTTCATGTTTGTAATCAGGCTCATATGTGACACAAATAACCGCCACTGACGCGGATGACCCTTCTTATGGAAACAGCGCGCGGATTGTGTACAGCATACTTCATGGGCAGCCCTACTTCTCTGTTGACCCCAAGACAGGTGAGAGATTAAACACATGGTCTTTTGCATTCTGTAGAATTCAGAACACCCCTCTGCCCAAAGCCTTTCTACAGCTTTGCCTTTGGCATTTTATTCAATTCGCGTTATGCCGTCATCTCCTGATCAAAAAGTAGCTCCTCTGAGAGAGGAACTATTAGGATTGATTGGTCCTTAGAAGAATGTCAGGGGTTTGGCTTTTAATGATACAGCTCACAAAAGCAATGCAGCACAGATTAATGATGACCTGTTCAATTCTTCATATTGCTGTAGGTCTTTTATTTTCATCACAAGAGGGTCGAACTGTAAGAATCATCTTACTGTTCATCGCTGTAAAAACCGAACTGTAGATCTAAAGGCAACAGTTTGCATGACTTTCATTGAGTTTGTTAAATTGCTAAATTGTTTTAAGTAAATGTCACTACTCTTGGAAATTTGCATAAAGAACTAGGCAACTATTAGATCAAGAAAGAATTTTCTATTTTTGTGTGCAACAATCATCTATAGTAGGGAAGTATGCTACATTTTAAAAGTTAAGGCTCAGTGATTTTTTTATTTTTTTTTCAATAAGTTATTTTTTTTCCAGCAAGGGTACATTCAATTGATCAGAAATACTTTTACATTGTTACAATATATATATATATATATATATTGAATAAATGCGGTTCTTTTGAACTTTCTATTTATCAATCCTTGAAAAAAAAGGATAAATAGCACAATTGTTTTCAACATTGAAAATAATAAGAAATGTTTCTTGAGCACCAAATCAGCATATTAGAATGATATCTGAAAGGTTATGTGACAGTGAAGATAAAAATACTAAATGGTTAAACTATTTTAATTATTCATGAATACATATGGGACTGAAACAAAAAAAAATAAAAAAATCAGGTGTGGGTCTATTTGAACTAAAATAAATAAATAAAATATTGATTCATACAAATTATATACTTGTTGATTACACTTGATAAATTGGAGTATATACTGTAGTAGTAATTTTATAAAACTCAGAATATGACGCAAACCTGAAATAATTAAATATGTTAAATAACAAAAATGTATCTAATCCCATTTTATTAATCAATGTCTTTGCTGCTGACCTTTGATGATCCAGTTAAACCATATTAAATAAGCAAAAAATGACTTTAGATAAACTAACAATTGTGCTTTGTTTTTTTTATTGCTGAAGAGTGTTTCTTCTCCTGCGTTCTACTGTACAGACGTGAATTTACTTTTGCTTCAGCCTGAGGTTTATTCATTACACTTTTTGGTGTGAAAGGGCTTTTATATTTGCTATAAATAGAACTTCTTATATTAAAAACAATCAAGCCCTGCTTATATTTAAAAAGTAACGCAATAGTAACGCAAAAGTAATATAACGCATTACTTTCCATAAAAAGTAACTAAGTAACGTAATTAGTTACTTTTTTAGGGAGTAACGCAATATTGTAATGCATTACTTTTAAAAGTAACTTTCCCCAACACTGGTTCTCACATGCTCTCTGTTTCTCTCTCTCTCTCTGCATTAGGGATCATAAGAGTTGCCTTACCCAACATGGATAGGGAGGTTAAAGAAATGTACCAGGTGGTCATACAGGCTAAGGACATGGGTGGCCAGCTCGGGGGCTTAGCTGGGACCACAACCATCAATATCACTCTCCGTGATGTCAACGACAACCCACCACGGTTTTCTAAAAGTATGTTCAAAAGCAGCTGTTTCTAGACATGAAGGAATCATTATAGAGTGCAATAAAGCTTACACTATTCTGCCGGCATTTCTATATCAGCAGCAGTTTATCCCTGGGGTTTATCTTAATGTGAATTTAATCGGGTTTCATATTTGCTTTGCTCTTTGGAAACCTTAAACATGAGTCCATTATTTGAATTGTTTAATTCGCTTAATGGCTGGCACTGATAACAAAGAGGGGCTATCTTCAAAACAGGGACTGAACAGTAATGCATGACCTGAGAAGAACTTCAGATTTACAATTGGCCATGATTAAGTCCTCAAGGGCTCTTGCCAAACACAAACAACTGAATATTGTTGAATTTACAAATGTGATTTGCATTAGCATTTTCCTCCAGAGCTGCTGAAGTGATTAGTGGATGATTATTGTTAACTACCTCTCAGAGTAATTTCTAAATGTAGCGTCTTACATCTAATACTGAGGGGAGAGTTTGATCACTGATAAAGGTGTTTGTGAATCTTGACAGGCATCTTTCACCTGCGTGTTCTTGAATCTTTACCTGTGGGCTCGTCGGTGGGGAGGGTCAAAGCTCATGATCTGGACTCTGGGAAGAATGCTGAAGTGGAATATAGCATCGTTCCTGGTGACGGAGGCTCCATGTTTGATATTTACAGCAATAAGAACACTCATGAGGGAACAGTCATACTGAAAAAGGTAGAATATGGCTTCTTGTAGTCATTTTTAGTCTCCAAAAAAAAAAAGAGAGATTAGACTGTGTTTTTATAATTACAGTAATGTTCAGAAGTTTGGGGTCAGTAAGATTCTTTATATTTTTAAAAAATGTATCTTATGCTTACCAAGACTACATTTATTTGATGAAATATTATTACAATAATATATTTTAAAATGCAATTTATTCCTGTGATTGCAAAGCTTCAGCAACCATTTCTCCAGTCTTCAGTGTCACATGATGCTTCATAAATCATTATATTATGCATATTTGTTGCTCAAGAGACATTTATTAATGTCAATTATGAAAACAGCTGCTTTTATTTGAAAACCGTGATCCACTTTTTTTTCAGGATTCTTTGATGAATAGAAAGATAAAAAATCAGCCTTTATTAGAAATAACAATCTTTTGTAACCTTATAAATGTCTTTACTTTAACTTTTTATCAATTTTAATGTCTTTGCTAAATAAAAGTATTAATTTCCTTTATAAAATTTTACTATCCCCAAACCTTTGAACAGTAGTGTACATTTATTTGTTATTTACATTTTATAGTTTTAATATTTATTTCGTTTTTACGTGTAGCAATACATAGACATTTTGCATTAAAGGGATGGTCGTTCCAAACCTGATTTCATTTCCTCTGTTGTTTTGATGCATCATATTTAAATACAGTATATATGAACATGAATGAGAGGAGAAGACTATTACACTATAAATAATTTTTACCTACTTCAATTTAAAAAACTTAAATTAAACCAAGTTCAGTCTTTATAACTTAAAAAGTTAAAATTAGTTACATTAAAGGGTTAGTTCACCCAAAAATGAAAATTAGCCCATAAATTACTCACCCTCAAGGCATCCTAGGTGTATATGACTTTCTTCTTTCAGACGAATCCAGTCGGAGTTATATTAAAAATTGTCTTTGATCTTCCAAGCTGTTTAATGGCAGTCAGCGGGTGTTGCAGTGCATCAGTCCAAAAGAAGTGAAATAAAAAGCGCCCATCCATAAAAAAAAAGTGTCTCACACGGCTCCGGGGGGTGAACAAAGGCCTCCTGTAGTGAATCGATGCGTTTTTGTAAGAAAAATATCCATATTCAAAACGTAATAATCGCTTTAATGTAGCTTTCACCAACAGTTGTACATGGAAGCAGCTCCGGGAGGATGACGTAAGATGTCGGCGTTGCGCATGCATGTGAGTCTCATGAAAACCAACGTTTGTTAACAGGAGTAAAGGAAGCAAAGTCTCCTTACTTTAGCAAAGGAAAACCAGTCTCCTCTTGGCTTATATCGAAATCCTCTGACATTCTTCTTTACAAATCCTCCTTTTGTTCTTCTAATTAGTGACCGTTGTTTTGTTTTGATCTCTCCCCTGTGCTTCCCCGTGCATCACTTCTGAGCGGCGCATGCGCAACGCCGCCATCTTACGTCATCCTCCCGGAGCTGCTTCCGTGTACAACAGTGAGCGCAAGCTAGATTAAATTGATTATTACGTTTTAAAAATGGTTATTTTTCTTACAAAAACGCATCGATTCGCTACAGGAGGCCTTTGTTCACCCCCCGGAGCCATGTGAGACACTTTTTATTATGGATGGGCGCTTTTTATTTCATTTCTTTTGGACTGATGCATGCAAACACCCGCTGACTGCCATTAAACGGCTTGAAAGATCAAAGACAATTTTTAATACAACTCCGACTGGATTCGTCTGAAAGAAGAAAGTCATATACACCTAGGATGACATGAGGGTGAGTAATGTATGGGCTAATTTTCCTTTTTGGCTGAACTAACCCTTTAATTTTCTAAAATAAAGTAATTTTAAAAAACATTTCGCCATGACTTAATGATAGTATCATTTTTATTTAAAGTTCTTTAAGCAAAAGTGAGTGAATATAGCACAGTTCCATATGTAGCTTATGCATTATTGTACATGAAACAGGAGCTCCTTTTACTGCACAGTAAGTAAATTATTTGACAGTATTTGGATGTTTATGTAGGCAATATTTATTTGCTAGCTAAGGTTGGATGACATCAGATGCAAATCACAATGCCATTTGCATCTCTTTTTCAAACACACGTGAATCCAAAGATGATAGCAATAACCCCTCGTGCTGTTTCATTCGGAGGCTCGTGTGTGTTTGCTCCGAGGTGAGTCATATATTATTATTGGATGGCCATCCATAGCATCCCGAATGAATAATGCATAAAGCCATAAAAGCGCGAATGCTTGACCCACAAAATGCAATGCCTGCTCTTGGACTTATCAATTCATTATGTGCTTTGTGGATGTCCTTAGAACATTGTTTTCCCATTCCTGTTTTGCCAACATGTGAAAAAAGAAATGTATTGCGGGTGCTGACCTCTCAAGGGATTTCAAAATTGTTTGAGTTCCCCCAAGATAGAGCCCAATAGTTTTATATTTAGTGGACATGAATAACTGAGTGCACCCATGGCAATCAGAGAATCTATCTTTTGATGTGATGTGACAAGTAGAAATCCCCTCAGATGCCCTGTTACATGGCCAATCACAGACTTGCTGGCTGTGCTATAAGTGCTTAGCTGAAACAAATGCCTTTGTAAAGGCGTGCAGATGAGGCTGGTGTGCTCTTATCCTTCAGGGAGTAGAGAGGTTACTCTTTCATTACTCAAAGTTAGTGTAGTCTGTGAACAGTCCACTGCTGCTATTCATCTCTCTCTAGAGCAGATGGAGAGATGCATATGAAGAATATGAAAGCAATAGGGGGCTATGCTTTGTTTCGTGGTACATTCCACAAATATGGAACACTTTGGTGTCATTACTTTTTGCCATTTAAAAAGCACTAGCACTAGAAATAGAATGTTAGATAAACTATTATGTAACATAGGTCACATTTTAGTTTGGGGACCTGTTCCTACTATTAACTTTCTATTAACTATGACTTTTGCCTCAAACTCCTAATCTGCTGCTTATTAATAGTTAGTAAGGATGTTTAGGTATGGAGTAGCATTAAGGGATGGAAAATATAGTCAAGAATAAGGCATTAATATGTGCTTTATAAATACAAATAAACCACCAATATGCTAATGATATGCATGCTAATAAGCAACTAGTTAATGGTGAGAATTTGACCTTAAAATAAAATGTTACTGATGTTTCTCTTAGTTTTGCTGGTGAATAAAAACTTCCACTGAAGGATATGATTGCAAAGACTGCAAAAATATTGTTTTGTTTTTTTCAATAGAAAATGAAAATGCCATGTGGACCAAATTAATAAAAAAAAAAAAAAAAAAAAAAGTGTAAAGCATCAACATGATTCAGTACAATTTAATGCAGTTTTAGGAACTAAAAATGAAAACAGGACCAAAACACACTGGTATGGAAGATTAAAATGATTAACATTATGTCAGCATATGCTATATACTAATAAGCAACTAGTTATTAGTGAGAATTGGACCCTAAACTAAAGTGTTACCAATATAGGCCTAAATCTAACTTCCAATGAAAAGGTAAAAAAGGAAATTTAAGTTTGTCAGCAACTTCAAACCAGTATAGAATGGCCTTACTGAGTTAAATTTGGATCAATGTGCAGTCCTTTAACCCTTTTTTTAATTATAAGTTGTAATTAATGTTAATATTAGACATACTACATCTACTATGTGTATGTGCGTGTGTGTGTGTGTGTGTGTGTGTGTGTGTGTGTGTGTGTGTGTGTTTGTGTTTTCGTATTT